AGATATAGATATCTATATCTTTAAATATAGATATATATATAGACATATCTATACTCGCTTTCCCCCTTCTTCCCCTTGTGACGTTTTAACACTTCTTTCGTTTTGTAGGTTACCATTTCAGATTTTTCTCTCTGGCTGAAGAAAAAAAGAGATAATTTAGTGTTTTTCTTTCCAGGAGTCCAAAAGTAGAAATTGCAATGAAGTTTAGAAAGCGTTGGGAGTTTTGCTCTGCGCCTGCAAAATTAATTATATATATATATATATATATATTGTAAAGTTCAAAAGTTGGGTGAGGGATCTTTTTCCCCCCCAAGTTTAAACCTCAGCCTCTCTTAAAAGCAAATCCAAATTCCTCGCAAGAAAAGACGGCAAAATCTGGGTGTTTTTAAAACAGGGTTCAAAATTGTGTTGCGGGCCTCACCGAGAGCTCCGATGTGGGACGTAAAAATGGAAAACTTTTGATTTAGAAGCCCCTCAAACGTAACAGCCTCAATATGACAAAAATTATGTATATATCTATATATATATATCTATATGTATAGATACGGGCGTGACAAGCTTGTCTCTCTATATATATATTTGTTTTTTTTTTTTACATACATACATATATATTTCAGACAGTGCAAACGGATGTACGGGGGTCTCCATCCAGTTGAAAAACAGGGGGGTGAAAAAATGTTCCGTGCCATCTCCTCTTTCCACAACAGGTGACTCAAAAAATGGCTACCCCCCCCCCCAAAATAAAAATTGCTGGAAACAAGAAATTGGGTGCCCCCCATAACCTTGTTCTGGATCACGGTGGTCTCCCTGCCCGCCCTCCCTCCCTCCCCCCCCCCCCCCCCCCCCCCCCCCCGTGCTTAACAGGACATTCACGAATGGAATTAATATGAGTTTAATACAGTAAACCGTTCCCCTTTTTTTCTTTCTTTCTCTCTTTCCTTTCTTTTCTCCTCGTTTTGAAAAGTGTTAATCTTTTTTTTTCTCCAGGAAGGGTTTTTGGGGTGGGGGAGTGTGGGGGGAAAAAAAGGGGAGGGATAATACGCTTTCCGGTTCGGTTGTCGGAGGCGGTTTCAAGTCGCGATGTCTCGTTGCTCTGTCCGCATTAACTGGAAGATGTTCTGGGAGAGAAAAAGGAGGGAACGAAGGAAAGAGGCTGAAAACGAGTCCCCAAAACCCTCTTTTTATTTCAACGGCCGTGAATTATGTTCATTCACAGCCCGTAATGAGTCCCAAATAGTTTGTAAAGAGTCCGACCGAAGTCTGCCAAAGTCTTTCGGGGTAAGGCTGATAAACACCCAGCTTTATCTCCCTTGAAAGGCTGCCAAAGATCTAACTGGCAATTCGCTTTGCAAGGCTCCTCCGAAACCAGGAGACTGTGAGTTCTAGTTTTGATTTAGGCATGATTTAAGCCTGGGCTGATCACCAGGAGACTGGGAGTTCCAGTCCCACCTTCCACATGAAAACCAGCTGGGTTACTTTAAGTCAATCACCAGGAGATAGTGAGTTCTAATCCCACCTTAGTTGGATGACTCTGGGCCATCACCAGGAGACTGGGAGTTCAAGTCCTGGTTTAGGCATGAAAGCCCAGCTGGGTGACTTTGGGCTGATAACTAGAAGATGGTGAGTTCTAGTCCCACCTTAGGCATGGAAGTCAGATGGGTGGCTTTGGGCCAATCACCAAAGAGATGGTGAGTTCGAGTCTCCCATCAGGCATGAAAGCTGGCTGGTGGCTTTGGCCCAGTCCCTCCCTCTCAGCCCAGCCCACCTCACAGGGTTGTTGTCGTGGGGAAAAACAGGAGGAGGAAGGAGCATTAGATCTCTTTGGCGCCCTGAGTTATTGATGCAAATAATAAAGGCGGGCTATAAATAAAATAAAATAAAATAAAACAAAACTGCCAAACTTTTGTCTCCACCTCACCTTGCTGCACAGACTGTCTTTACTGCAATTCTTGTTGTCCTTGTCGGTGGCGTCCTCTTCCACCTTTCAAAGGGAGATACGGGAGTAGCTGAGGCAGGCCAGGCGCAGGGAGTTCCAGTGCCAAGAGCCCAGAGGGCCCCTGTGTTTCACGGAAGGCCTCGCCTGGCTTCTAGGGGAGGGATGGAGGGGAAGGGGTTCCCACTGGACGGCAACAGCCCTCCCCACCCCACCCCCCCTCCTGGTCCTCCCCCACCTTCACCTCCTTCCGCCACTTCAGTTCGCAGAAAATGCGTTCGAAACACTCGTGCATGTAGTTGAACTGCAGGGGGAGAAAAATCCGAAGTCAGGCCCAGCTCCTTCCTCCTGCCAGGGGCCTGGGACACCACCACCCCTCCTTCCGCCGCCCCCTCTCTCTCTGCTTACGTATGGGGTAAAGATTTTGACCCATCGTGGCTTCTTCTCCCCCCGGGCGTATTCGAAGCAGAACGCCATCCCTTCTTCGTCCGTGTCCCACCGCTGCATCTCATCCCATTCGAAAGCTATGACTTGGTTCTGGAAGGATCCCGGAGGCGTCAGTGGGAGCTTCGTCCCCCTGCCCGGATTGATCTGGAGGGTTGGGGGCCCACCCAACCACCCGTTCTCCCCCCCAATGGCTGACCTCGAGCTGGCCCTCCTCCGTGCAAGCGTGGAGCTTAAAGTGCTGGATGCTGATGGCTGTAATGACATGGCCCTTGCGGCGAGAGTCGCAGGAGCAGTGAGGGAAGACGATCTCATTGTAACCCTCGCACGTCCGCAACATGTTCAGGTACTGTCGGGAGGGAAAGGGGGGAGGAGGGAGAAGGAGAGGGGAACCCAAGTTAGCTCTCCGCAACAGGCAGGGTTGCAACTTAAGACAAACACGAAGAAAACCGATTCATTTGGGAAATGTGTTTGCCACTCGTCGTCTCCCGCGGGCGGTCTTCGAAATACGACTGTGAGCGAGCCCCAAGCTTCTGTTACTGAGTGGGAAGTGAGGTGAGTTTCGGCCCCCGTTGCACCACCTTTTGGTTGAGGCCGCTTGGAGGTTGAATCCTGGAGGAGGGTGACCTCCAAGCGGCCTCAACGGCTCTCAGAGAGACCAGAGGACTGCAAGGAATAGAAATCCTTCCGTTCTCCACCATTCCGCCAGAACCTGAAGAAGCCTCTCGAATGGGGAGCGAGACCTCTTCAAGGAAAAAAAAAAGCCGAGTTGCCTTTGGAAATACACACCGTGGCCCAGGTGTCCCGGACTCTCCAAAATCTCCGGGAGTGGAGAAGACCTTACCATGACCATTTTCCTCTGCTCGCCGAGCTTCTGCAGCTGGTAGGATTTCTCCTCCGCTTTGATGTAGCCTTTCTTCACATCGTCCACCGCCTGGGGTGGGGTGAAAACATGGGGTCAAGGGACTTTTACAAAAAAAAAAGGGGGGGGTTTCTGCTTTCCTACAACCCCTCCTTCCCAACGACTGCGTCAAGCTTCTAGTCCTCATGGCGGAAGGTGGCTGATCAAAGTCAGAAGATGAAGGAAATAACGCTAAAGGAAGGAGAAGACCCCTTAAACTTCCTCTGGATGGTGGCGGCTCCCCCCCCCCGTAGGAAGACTTGTTCTGCTCCTTCACCCCCCCATTCTTGATCCTTTTGATGGGGGGGGGAGGGGGGAATCCCTCGATCCTCCTTTGAATCTTGAGGGCTTCCTGAGCAGAGCTCAACAAGAGGGTCCCCCGTAGAAAATAGGGGGGGGTCTTTCGCAGAAGGATCCGCCCTTCGCTTCCTCGCTCTTCTGCTCCTCCCGCCCGGATCCCCGAAACGAGACCACTAGACTCCCCCCCCTGCGAGGGGACGCCCACGCCTCGTAGGAAGGGGGGGGAGGGGGTTGTAGCTGAGGGTCACCTGAAGGCATCCCACCTGGTGGAAGAAGTAGGTGACGGCCAAATCGTTGTCGTTCAGAAGAATCTCTTCCTCCGTCGTGAACAGCCACTTCCGGATCGTCAAGCAGGTTCCCGGCACGGCCGAGGTGTAATTCTGCACGTAGAGCTTGTGGGGGAATTCGTTGGGCGCCAGTTTCCTCACTGGGAGGGGGGGGGAGAAGAGAAATGGGGTTGGCGGAGGCGGGTCCCACAGCAGAGGGGGCTGGAGGGGCACCCACCATCTTCCTGCCAGCCTGAATGGCGTCTCGTTCCCCCCCCCCCCCGAGGTTTGCCCTCAATAGGAAACGTCTGTTCATCTACGTTAGAATTTCATCCTATGGCCGCATTTTTCGGACTATAAGACACACATTTGTGTCTCCCAGAAGGGGGTGAAAATGTCTGTGCGTCTTATAGACCGAATCTTGCAGAAGTCCCGGCTATTTTTGGGGGGCCTCCACACCGCTTTTTCCACCCCGTTTTCAGGGCTTTTTTATCCATTTTTGAGGCTTTCTTCTCCCCGTTTTTTAGGCTTTCCTTGGCCCATTTCTTTTGGAAAAAAATGGGCCAAGAAAAACTTTGAAAACGGGCTGAAAAAACCCTCAAAAACAGGCAAAAAAAAACCCTCAAAAATGTGCCGAAAACATCCCCAAAATGTGTCAAAAAACCATCAAAAACGGGCTGAAAAAACCGTCAAAAACGGGCTGAAAAAAACCCTCAAAAACGGGCTGAAAAAAACCCCCAAAAATGAGTAGAAAAAAGGCTCCCCAAAAGAGCCGAAAATGGGGTTGGCGGATGCCAAAAGCCTTCTTTTGTTTTTGCTGTTTTCGCCTTCTAAATTTAGGTGCGTCTTATAATCCGAAAAATACGGTATTTTGTAAATAACTCAAGGGAGGGAGGGGGGGAAAACGTAACTCATATTCCTCCCTCTTCCTGTTTCCCCCGGGACGACAGCCCTGTGAGGTGGGCTGGGTTGAGGGCGAGGACTGGCTCCAAGTCACCCAGTTGGTTTGCATGGCTGAAGGACCCCCCCCCCTGGGGGGGGGGGGGGGGCAGAAGGGGGCCTGATCCTTACCGAAAGAATGGTTGATGACTTCAAACAAGGCAAAGTAGTTAGCGGTGGTGCTATCCATCCCCACCTTGGAAGCGACAGCCTGGATAGGAAGGAAGGGAGGGAGGGAAACAGGAAGGGACGGAGGGAAGGAGGAAGAAAATGAAAAGGTAACGGAGGGAGAGAAAGAGGCAGGAAGGAAGGAAACGGAGGGAAGGGAGGGAGGGGATTAAAAAGAAAGGAGGGAAGGAGGAAGAGAGGGGGGAAGGCAGGCAGGCGGGGAAGAGGGAATGGAATGGAAGGAAGGAGGGAGGAAATTAAAAAGAAAAGAGGGAGGGAAGGAAAAAGAAAGGGACAGAGGGAAGAAAATGAAAAGGTAACGGAGGGAGAGAAAGAGGCAGGAAGGAAGGAAACGGAGGGAAGGAGGAAGGAACAAAGAGAGGGTGGGAGGACATGCAGGTAGGCAGGCAGGGAAGAAGAAAGGAAGGAAGGAAGGAATAGAGGAAAATAAGGAGGAAGGATTAGAGGGAGAGAAAGGGAGGGAGGGGATGGGAGAAGGAATGGAAGGAAGGAAGGAAGGAAGAGAGGGATGGAGGGAATTAAAAAGTAAAGAGGGAGGGAAGAAGGAAGGAAGGAAATGCATTTTAAAAACCGGGACGTTTTTAGAAGCCAAATCTCCTATTAGGAGCTTCTGTCCTTTGGAGAGCAAGTTCCCTCCTGCACCCCTAATCTTCTCTAAAGCCCCCGAGGAGCCCCCCCCCCAAAAAACCCCTGGAGGACCCCCTCCTACCTGGTAGACCTGGTCGGTGGTGCTGTTCTTCTTCACCCGGACGGTCACCGTCGTGATGTCGGGGAGGGCCACCCGCAGCTCCACGTCGGAAACCCCGTTGAAGTTCTATTGTGGCGGGGTGTAGAAAAGCCCGGATGAACCCCTGAGGAAGGCGATCTCCTCTTGGGGCTGGAGGTGGGGAGGAGGGGGGGGGGAGGAGTCCCTTTTGGTCCACCCAGATGTGGGTGGGAGTGACAGCCCGGGAGAGCCCCGCCCTCTGACCCGCCTACCTCGTCCGACTCCGAGAGGAATTCTTGCATGACATCGCTCTCCCCGATCACGCGGATGGAGCACACTGTGGGAAGGGAGGGGTGGGGAGAGAAAGCAGAGCTGTGACTGGACATTAATGTGCTGGCATTATTATTATTATACAATTGTATCACAGCGGCCAGTTGTTTCGCCGGATTTGGCATTGGTTACTAGTCGGGCCCCACCCAGGGGCCTAGGACGTCGTAACGTATTTTCGTAATATGCGTGCAGATCCAAAAAATTATTATTATTATTATTATTATTATTATTATTATTATTATTATTATTATTATTATTA